ATATTTAAGTTTTTTAATCGTTTTGGATTTATTTAGGTTAACATGAACGAGTAATAAAAACAAAACTAATAATAATATTAATGAAGCTCCTCATATTTTGCCTTTTATATGGTTTTAAAAGAAATGTTTTTTTTTTAAATAAATAGTAGGTATACATTAATAACTCGGGGAATTTATATTTTTAATTAATAAAATTGGTGTTATCCATTATACATACCTACCTACTGGCATAACTTTAGTATCGATGTATTAATGATATAAATTATATTCGTTCGAGTATATAAATATATTTTAATATTATGTGTCCCCTTACTCAATGTACATTAAACAGTATAATATAATATACTACAACAGCACTCGCGTTCAATAGAAAAAAAGGACTATTTTTTTTCTTTTTGAATTAATATTTCATCAAACGATAAATGCCAACATGTAATGTTTGCGCTATAGCCATAGTGTATGTTTTAATTGTTTAACGAGGCCCCATAAAACACCTCCACCGGATGAAACAGTATATTACTCGCGTACGTGTAGCGCCGTCTCGCTGCGGGAGGGGCGTTGGATCGCCCGAGGATTAAACTTAATTATTAATTGATTAATTTCGCGACGTCGGCGCATTAATGCAATTTTATGCCCTGGGTCGGCGACATATGCGTTAGCCGTATAATATCGTGATGATATTATTATCATGTGTAGAATGCATATGACGAATTTTTAACTAACTCGGCTGCTGAAGTGGGTAAGAGCCGTCTCGTTCGCGGCTAAACATCCGATCGAAACAATATTAAGCTCACAATAGCGACTATATACGTGCTATCCAACCCTCTCTATCATCCCTCTAGCCGGGGGACGCTGCTCCTATTGAAATTCTGTGTCGGTTAGGTTAGGGTACGGCTTGGTGTGGCGGTAATTTCTGTCCCGTCGCGGAGTATTACGCCCGCGGATCCATATAATATGTTATACAGGGTGTCCCATAAACTGTGCAACTTTTAAATCTGCCACCGTTTTTTTAAAAAATTTTGTTGGCAGCCCTGTTCTTATCATTTATACTATCTACTATTACCGGGGGTACCAAACTCCGTGCGTTCGCCGGATCAGGCGATTGCGGCCTTGAACACGGTCTCCAGGGGGGGCCTGGCATACGTGAAATAGAGAATGGTAAACAAGCCGACACCGCAGTCATCATCCCCGCGTACCCACCATAGTCTTGGAACCGTTTTCATAATTTTCATAACCATGGGTCTAACAACATGCTGGTGCGTAGAACCGTTTTCATGTTTTTCGTAGGTAAATACTTAATTATTAATTGATTAATTTCGCGACGTCGGCGCATTAATGCAATTTTATGCCCTGGATATCCCGGGTCGGCGACATATGCGTTAGCCGTATAATATCGTGATGATATTATCATGTGTAGAATGCATATGACGAATTTTTAACTAACTCGGCTGCTGCAGTGGGTAAGAGCCGTCTCGTTCGCGGCTAAACATCCGAGCGAAACAATATTAAGCTCACAAGCTACTATATACGTGCTATCCAACCCTCTCTATCATCCCTCTAGCCGGGGGACGCTGCTCCTATTGAAATTCTGTGTCGGTTAGGTTAGGGTACGGCTTGGTGTGGCGGTAATTTCTGTCCCGTCGCGGAGTATTACGCCCGCGGATCCATATAATATGTTATACAGGGTGTCCCATAAACTGTGCAACTTTTAAATCTGCCGCCGTTTTTTTAAAAAATTTTGTTGGCAGCCCTGTTCTTATCATTTATACTATCTACTATTACCGGGGGTACCAAACTCCGTGCGTTCGCCGGATCAGGCGATTGCGGCCTTGAACACGGTCTCCAGGGGGGGCCTGGCATACGTGAAATAGAGAATGGTAAACAAGCCGACACCGCAGTCATCATCCCCGCGTACCCACCATAGTCTTGGAACCGTTTTCATAATTTTCATAACCATGGGTCTAACAACATGCTGGTGCGTAGAACCGTTTTCATGTTTTTCGTAGGTAAATACTTAATTATTAATTGATTAATTTCGCGACGTCGGCGCATTAATGCAATTTTATGCCCTGGATATCCCGGGTCGGCGACATATGCGTTAGCCGTATAATATCGTGATGATATTATCATGTGTAGAATGCATATGACGAATTTTTAACTAACTCGGCTGCTGCAGTGGGTAAGAGCCGTCTCGTTCGCGGCTAAACATCCGAGCGAAACAATATTAAGCTCACAAGCTACTATATACGTGCTATCCAACCCTCTCTATCATCCCTCTAGCCGGGGGACGCTGCTCCTATTGAAATTCTGTGTCGGTTAGGTTAGGGTACGGCTTGGTGTGGCGGTAATTTCTGTCCCGTCGCGGAGTATTACGCCCGCGGATCCATATAATATGTTATACAGGGTGTCCCATAAACTGTGCAACTTTTAAATCTGCCGCCGTTTTTTTAAAAAATTTTGTTGGCAGCCCTGTTCTTATCATTTATACTATCTACTATTACCGGGGGTACTAAACTCCGTGCGTTCGCCGGATCAGGCGATTGCGGCCTTGAACACGGTCTCCAGGGGGGGGGGGGGGCTGGCATACGTTAAATAGAGAATGGTAAACAAGCCGACACCGCAGTCATCATCGCCGCGTACCCACCATAGTCTTGGAACCGTTTTCAAAATTGTCATAACCATGGGTCTAACAACATGCTGGTGCGTAGAACCGTTTTCATGTTTTTCGTAGGTAAATACTTAATTATTAATTGATTAATTTCGCGACGTCGGCGCATTAATGCAATTTTATGCCCTGGATATCCCGGGTCGGCGACATATGCGTTAGCCGTATAATATCGTGATGATATTATCATGTGTAGAATGCATATGACGAATTTTTAACTAACTCGGCTGCTGCAGTGGGTAAGAGCCGTCTCGTTCGCGGCTAAACATCCGAGCGAAACAATATTAAGCTCACAAGCTACTATATACGTGCTATCCAACCCTCTCTATCATCCCTCTAGCCGGGGGACGCTGCTCCTATTGAAATTCTGTGTCGGTTAGGTTAGGGTACGGCTTGGTGTGGCGGTAATTTCTGTCCCGTCGCGGAGTATTACGCCCGCGGATCCATATAATATGTTATACAGGGTGTCCCATAAACTGTGCAACTTTTAAATCTGCCGCCGTTTTTTTAAAAAATTTTGTTGGCAGCCCTGTTCTTATCATTTATACTATCTACTATTACCGGGGGTACTAAACTCCGTGCGTTCGCCGGATCAGGCGATTGCGGCCTTGAACACGGTCTCCAGGGGGGGGGGGGGGCTGGCATACGTTAAATAGAGAATGGTAAACAAGCCGACACCGCAGTCATCATCGCCGCGTACCCACCATAGTCTTGGAACCGTTTTCAAAATTGTCATAACCATGGGTCTAACAACATGCTGGTGCGTAGAACCGTTTTCATGTTTTTCGTAGGTAAATACTTAATTATTAATTGATTAATTTCGCGACGTCGGCGCATTAATGCAATTTTATGCCCTGGATATCCCGGGTCGGCGACATATGCGTTAGCCGTATAATATCGTGATGATATTATCATGTGTAGAATGCATATGACGAATTTTTAACTAACTCGGCTGCTGAAGTGGGTAAGAGCCGTCTCGTTCGCGGCTAAACATCCGAGCGAAACAATATTAAACTCACAATAGCGACTATATACGTGCTATCCAACCCTCTCTATCATCCCTCTAGCCGGGGGACGCTGCTCCTATTGAAATTCGGGGTCGGTTGGGTTAGGGTACGGCTTGGTGTGGCGGTAATTGCTGTCCCGAGTATTACGCCCTTGGATCCATATAATATGTTATACAGGGTGTCCCATAAACTGTGCAACTTTTAAATCTGCCGCCGTTTTTTTAAAAAATTTTGTTGGCAGCCCTGTTCTTATCATTTATACTATCTACTATTACCGGGGGTACTAAACTCCGTGCGTTCGCCGAATCAGGCGATTGCGGCCTTGAACACGGTCTCCAGGGTACTCCATATAATATTTTATACGAAAATATAAAGTAAACATATTATTTATATAGGTAGGTACATATTATTATAAAATTAAAAATTATATGTGTTAATAAACTTTTGGCCCGCTAAGAGCATTTGATTTTTTTTGTGGCCTTTGAATAAGTTTGGAGACCCCTGATTTATACTATATCTACTATTACCAGGGGTACGAAACTCCGTGCGTTCGCCGAATCAGGCGATTGAGGCCTTGAACAGGGGGGCCTGGCATACGTGAAATAGAGAATGGTAAACAAGCCGACCCCACGTATCCCACCATAGTCTTGGAACCGTTTTCATAACCATGGGTCTAACATCATGCTGGTGCGTAGAACCGTTTTCATGTTTTTCGTAGATAAAGACTTCAGATCATATAGCCATATAGGTAACCAAGACCCCAATCAGCTGATCGAGTTTCGCTTCTATATTGTTCTATGCTATTACTCCGATTTACTTGTTGATAAGAACAGGGCTGCTAATAAAAAATATTAAAAAAATGGCTGCAGATTTAAAAGTTGCTCACTTTAAGGGACACCCTGTATTATACGCAACGGTTAGCGGCGTAACAGAAATTTTATAAATCCTATTATAAGACTGCGAATCGCCTCGTGGCATTGCATCCTTTTATTTCGCGACCGGTGTCGTGAGCGACGCGATCGCTTTAAGCTCTCCCCGGGGAAAAGGATAATCGCGGGGTGGAGGCAGTGGCGGCGGCGGTCGACGGTTGATTTATCCTTTGAACAAATTCCAAAAACCGTTTTGGTTGTGGTGATTTGTTCGCAAACATGCCGCAAAGGAAACGCGTCCGCGGCGGTCGCGACATAGGTACCTACCCGCAGAATTTACACCCCCGCCCGCCCTGGCCAGGTTTTTCCCAATTATATTAGGGTGGCTTAGTGTGTTTGCTCATCGTTTGCGTGTGTGTGTGTGTGTGTACTCTAACCTTTTACCTTTTCGCTTCGCAGGTCACACCTCAACGACATCCGTGATCGGTCGGTGCTGCGACTTTTCGAGTCAGCCGAGGGCGGCCCGCTACTCCAGGGCCTCACGATAGCCGCCCCCACGTGGGACCAAGATCAATCGTACTTTAGCGAGCCGGAATTCGATTCGGAATACCAACATCAACACATACACAAGACCAAGGTAAGTCACTATGTACGATATTATTAATGTATACCTATAGAATTGTCGTAGGTAATCTCCTCGATTTTCGGGTGTGATCCAGACGGATCTGGTGCAGGATTTCGGTAAAACGATGTAATAACCGCTCGGCCGGTATCATACTGGTTGTATAAATTGTGTTCAATTTTTCACCCATTTTATGCGCTGCGGTTTTGAAACGAATTTATTTATCAAGTCGCTTATATACGCGATTTGTTTATTTTCTCTTAACTCGGGAATTCGTTTAAATCCATTTCCGTTTCCTCTCCTCGTGTCGCATTCACAGAGGGAGAACTATATACCTACCTACTATACATCTCAGGGAAATGCATATTATATTAAGCCGATACCTTTTATAAGTATATATAGGTATACTGCAGCAAAGAATGCATAAACAAACTTAAGTCTTTAGTGAAACTATTGTGCTTTACGTTAAGTCGTGCATGCTATTATTATTCCTTCCTATAAAGTATTTTATTGTATAATTCTGCAAATTTCAACAGTGCACCACGTTGATATAAGAAACATTTATACCAACAAATAGGAATTAAACTTGTAAGTTGATGAACATAATAAATATAAATTGTAATAAATCGGTGACACAACAATCCATTTGGGTAGTATAGAATTCAACTTTAATTATTACTAAATCAGTTCATCTCCGATATCAAAATTATTATTAATACTCCTTTACGATTAATATTTATGTTTCATACTTGCCTCCAAAGTGTGAAAAATAGTATGATTCATACGATTATTAATTGTTATAGTACCTATGAATTAATATTGAAATTTTTCTTTTGCCTACTTCAAAGTTATTACTTTAAATGTAAAATGTTTTTTTCTAAAAATTGTATTATAAAAAAATCATACATTTATAATTTGTACATGTTTTTTTATTAGTTAGGCACATATTATTATATTAACATTATTGGCTGTTTGTAACTGTATTCTATTAGTATTTATACTATACGGATACTCGTGGATAGAAAATTGTTTAAGTGTCTTAGTTGTATAACATAGAATATTTAATATTTTTTATTATTATCCGTACGTTGGAATATACTCAATCTATAAATTATTATTTTTCCATAACCACAAGTGATTGATTACTTTAACTACCTATATAGTCAGGATGAACCAATTAACTCGGTGGCGTTTAGCGATGATTTTAGTCGCTTATGTCAGACCGCCATTTGCGTTTTAATCGACTTCTTGTGGCACCTGGGACACTACCGACGGATAAATAGAATAAAATATCAACTCCAAAATAATTAAGTTAGTTTTAATTTTAATATTGAAACTCTGATTAATGTTTCGAAAACTTTCTTTATACATAGAGAAACCAATAGTCACTTCCTACACATATTATTTACAACACAACACTAATTAATATAATATACTTATATGGTACATGTTTTTCACCGAGCACTAAATATGTAATTATAAATCCATATCATTATCATATAGGTACTAATGGTACTATGTTATAAATTAGTTAAGACTTTACAGATAGTATTCTACAGTCACAGCAACTATATAAGTACATAATTATTATGTTTCCTGATTAAAAATAGTCTTATAATACGATGTTGTTTCAAATTTAATTTGACTATTTAAATTTTTTTTTTTTTTTAAAACTCTTATAATATCTGTTCCTGTTATTGGATAGTAGATTTTTGAAATAAAACATTCCGATCAAAAACATAAATTGGGGGACGAGGTGGCCGAGCGGTCTAACGCGTCGACTGCGGCGCTGGCAGTCGCGGGTTCGCCTCTCGGCCACTGGGCGGCATTTTTCTCCGGGCAAGTCACGGTGTCCGGAGTACAAGTGCCGCCATCCCCCAACCCGGGGCATGGCAGAAACCTACGGGTGCCCCAATAAAAATTCTGCCACCACAAACACACACGTGTACCAACCTACCCAATCTAAAAACCTACAGTTCCCTACCAACACCCAATGGCCTATGTTGCCGCGGGTTATCCAATAAAAAAAAAAAAAAAAAAAAACATAAATTATTGACATAATATTTATACATGAAATATATTATTTAATTTAATATATATATATAATTATATACACGGTAACAATATCACAGTTATACAATTATTTTCAACTAACACTAAGCTAAAAAAAAAATAATAATTATAACGTATTCCTTACATAATTAAAAATAAAAATGTTACAAAACCGCTCAACGTAAATAATTCATACTAAACATATTATTATGATATAATAATATTATGTACAACGAAAATATATATAATAATTGTACCACGTCATTGTACAGTTTTGTGTCGGAAAGATTTTTAAGGCTTATTAATTAGGTTGTCAGATTGTGGGACGATTGTTGTAATCAAAATGGAACTTTAGTTCGTTAAAGGATTTCACCATTAAAATAGATCTCCTGCAGCAGTCCTGTATTCTCGAATCCGATCGATTGTAATGTATATGTAGCGCACCAAACAGGCTTGGAGATTTATCGGATATAATTATTTATATGGCCTTCGAGTTCAATTGATATGGATGAATAGAGCGAACCCTAAAGTTCGATCAAAGCCTTTGATTGACTATAGACCGGCTTTTATGGTGCATGGCACGTCATTGTGTAAAGAAAAAAAGGTACACCAGCAGAAACCTAAAATATCAATAAGTTCAACCTACGAACCTGTATATGTATACAGAGTGATTCATCAAACATGGTACCCCAATTTTTCCTTTCCGATTTATGGAATTTGTATTTCATATATATTTAAACACCATATTATTTTTTAATGTCTGTGATTTTTTGTTCTACTTGTGATGAATTATGTACAGGTACTATGACTAACACTGATTTCATGAAAAAAACGGCCAAGTTTTAAAATATTATTAAAAAATAAGCATATAAACAATTTTCTTTGTAACTGGGTTTTGTCGTAAAACGGCGTTGATGAAATTTCGGGATTTATCATCGGATCCTTTTGTCCGCCCATTCGACCGAAAGCCGAACAAGTTGTGTTCGAGAACCGTTAGTCGTACAAGCAGCAGGACGATGTCATTATCAAGGTGGAACAATTTTTTTCAACAATAATTATTATCGGTCAGGAATTGGTAGGGGCAGTGACAATCTTCGCGATCCACTGCAGATTGTTTCAGGCCCAAGCCAAATGACCCCCGACCATGTAATAAAAGGCCGACGATTAGGGCGGTGCAATGAGATGAGTGGAGATTATGAGTTGTCATAACGCACTTTCGGACGTGGACTGAAAACGATTTTATACGATTTTATACAATTTTTTTTAAAGCTTATCACTGTTCCGTAACAGTGCTACAATACTCTAGAATATGGTTTATAAATAAATAACGCTTCCTACACTACACGCGGACCGACCGTTTGCATACCGCGGTATAGGTACACCGCAGAACGGTTTTCAATTTTTTTTTTTTTTACGTTACAAAAAAGGTCTCCCGCGAGTAACGGGTGAACATTTTTTTGTATTCGCACCGTCCAAAAATGTCTCGGATTTTTAGTTTTTTGGTAAAATTTGCGAATTCAGATCGCCTGAAATCCAGTGTCTGCACACCCTCGGCGTCTGAAAAAAAACTATGCTCATCGGGCTACTAATATGTACTAAAACTAATTAATAATATTATTATAAGTAGTTCTACACTCTATCGATAACAACAATAATAATAGTAATAATATTATTCTACGCATAAGTATGTACAGTGACCCGCCCACCCGCCGCCGCCGTGCTATAATAAAGTGTATGGCGATATCGCGTCGGCGGCGGGTGTGCAGGCGGGTCCGGAAGATTTTTTGGAGGCGGGGTTGGAGGCGAATGGAGGCGGCGGAGGGCCTCATCAGAACAGATAGCACTTGGGCAGGGCGGGCAGGTACAGGGCGCCGTTGTAGAACTGTTTGCGGGTCTCGTGCCAGGACAGGACGGAAGCGGCGCCGAACGGGTCGGGCACGCAGGCCGCGCACACGCCGGCCACTTTGACCACCTCCCACTCGGCCGGTTCGCGCTTCCGGTCTTGCGGGTCACCGCCGTTGGACCGGGCGTTCCGGGAGGAAGTGTCGTCGGTGGCGGCGGCGGCGGCGGGAGTGACGTCGGACTGCACGGGCTGCCGGAACAGCGGAATCCAACTGCGCTTGAAGCGGACCACGCTGCTGCTGCTGCTGCCGCCGCTGCGGCGGTTGTCGTCCGCGCGCTTGTCCAACAGGTTGACGCGGAACGTCTCGTCGGCGTGCGGCGCGTCGTAGAAGTCGTACAGGCCGCCGTCGAACAGCGGCAGTTGCGGGGACGGCGGCAGTTGCGGGAGGTGCAGCGGCATCGTCGGCGGTTCCTGCGGCGCCGCGCCCGCGGCGTTCGGCACCGCCACTCCGGGCACGCGCTGACCGTTGGAGAACCCACCGCCGTGCGCCAAATGCGGCGGCCGCGTGGCCTCCGGGCCGGGCGGCAGCGTCGGCGGCGCCTCGGTGTCGGCCTCGTCCACCGACTCGTCGTAACCGTGATGGAAGTTGTGCACGTGGTGGTGCTTGTGGTCGTTGTACGCCTTGCCCGCGGTCAGCGCCGCCTTGTACAGCGACACCAGTGTCAGTTCTCCGGAGAACGCCGGGTAGTGGACGGCCAACGCTTGTTCCAGGTACTCCCGTCCGCTGATGGCCACGCCGCCACCCTTGATCTTCTTGCCGGCCATCTGCGAAGCAAAAAAAGAAAATAATAATATTGTAACGTCAGACTCCGATCGAGCGCAATCGATCACGAGGGGACACACCGCACCCATCCACCCACACCGCTGTTGTTGCAACAGAGTAATCCGAAAACAGGACTTTCCAAAATCGATAAATGAAAAAAATAAAAATAAGGCTCACATAATATAAGCCGTTAACCCTAACGATTATCCCGCCGCCGCTATACACTGCAGTATACAACCTAACCCCCCCCCCCCCCACTCGGAATCTGTTTAATGTCTGTATCGTTCGCTGTGAATTCGAAGATAAATCACGTCGGAAAACGAATCGGACATTGATTCTTATGTGTAATTATAAAGTAGAGGATTCTACGATTTCTTAAACTTTTCGTTCCGGAACATTCACAGCCATTCAATAATGCGACAGGATAATCCATTTAACGCGTAAGACATTCATTATTTCAAAAACTGTTAACGTTTTTAAAAATGTATTTTTACATGATTTCAAGACTGTAAAAACTATATTTTTCTTAAACAAATATATACCTATTTCTTCCATTTTTTTAATCGTTATCATTTTTTAATGTTTTGAATTTTTTAAAAACAAAATATAATTTTAATTCTTTGTTCAAAATCAGAATAATTTTCGGAATACTTCGATTTTTATTATAAAAATTTAATTTTGAAAGAGTAGCTCTTAAGTTTTGAGTATTTCAAATCTGTGCAGAGTGGAGTGGTACTGCAAGGGTACCCCTCAACATTTTATTTCGCCCATTTAAACTTTAAATGGTTATCGCAGTTATAACTAATAAACTATTTGTCCAAAATTTGATTTTTATAGTCCAATATACTGAATTTAGTTAGAAATTATTTAGTTTGTAATAAACTGAATTTTAATGCTGTTTTAGAACAATAAACTAAAAATGTAAGTATTCAAAGGAGTATAGAACTTAAAAAAAAAAAAAATAATAATAATAAGCGATTAAAAATATAACTTTTTTCAAAAATGTCGTTCATCAACTACTTAAAATGGTGTAAGAAAAATTATATCAAAAACGTTAGTGTTTTCTGAACTAAAGAGAGTCTCTTGCGTTAAATGGATCACACCGTATACAGCACGCATGTCGTTTTCAGCATATGATGGAATCGATTACTTTTTTTTCTGTTGTTTCATACACGCACGATGTTTTTTCAATTCTTAAGTCTTGTGTACAATGTACACCAAACAACAACAATAATAATAATAATAATAATAATATCATAGGAAATCATAAGCACCCCCACTCCGCCCACATCGTCGAAGGGTAGCTGATTTGGGCTGCACCGCGTTCAATAGTGCGGATGTTTAAAGAAATTTCCGGCGTTTAAGCTTATACCAATACCGTCTACACTGAATGTGACCATATAATATTACCTTAGGTACCTATAACACACTATCGACAACCCTAATAATAATAAAACATGCTTAACTCGAGATGAGTCCCTCCTATAATACTTGGCATATACATGACTATATGCACCGATAAAATGTATAATATCGCTATTTCGGTTAAACGAGCGCCGACTACCTTTAAGTAAGTAGGTACCTTCATATAATATTATGAGGTTTTTACACACGTTTCTTGTTTTTAAATGTCCCTATGATATTTAGTTAGTTGTTTTTAGTATTTTGTTTACTTAAAAAAAAACAACCGGTCTCGCATGAAATATGTAAAAAGATTTTATATTGGTAAATTAATAATGTATTCTATAAACCGGAAATCGGAAGTACTAACAGGATAATATTATTATCATGTTATTATAACAATATCATGTGAACGAATATTTTATCTCGAGAACATCAATTTAAAATATTAATAAAATAATATGAGACCGACACTTTCATCCCCCCCAGACATACTATATTATTTATCCGTTTGACCCCGAATAGTTATGTTTAACTATCATTGTACGCTGGAGATAAATCAAAAACCAACCGTCAGTCAAGTAATATGAGTAGTAAATTCTTATGAAATGAGTTTTTTTTTTTTAATATTCTTATGCTGTGATGGTTCTATTTTATAATTGCTAAGAGTTCAACACCGGTGCGACTGCAATCCATATTAATATCCATAGCGTTTGTAGTGTTTTACTGAAATAAAATGAACGTTATATTATTTTTCATCCGTCGTATTCATTCATCCAAACGACCGTCGAAAAAAAAAAGGTTTTTAATTTTACTTTTAAGACCGCGTACGAGTTTTTTTCAGTGTAAGTTTGAATCACACGACTAACGAATTCATTTATGTCAACGGGAATTTATACATGTCATTAAGGTATAACTGGATTAAGGCAACTGCTTTCAGCGCGTTCATTATTATTGTTATGCGTATATATACATTTCTTTTTTAAGTATTATTTCACCGGAAAGCAAAATTAAAATGAGCGTAATTAAAATAACAATTTTTAGCACTCTCTATAGTTGAATAATTGATATTATAATAATATTATACGTCTCGTGTCAATGTAATAAAATATACTTAACGCGGCCGCCTGGGTCATCATGACATCTGCAGCAGAGAATAATCAGTTTTTATTACATTCACGCTGATGTCTTATCATCCATTAATAATGACATAATATTTTACCACCCGGTAATAGTAATATAATTATTATTATGATTTTGTCACTTTTACGGTTTTCGGCGTGAACAACACGTCTCGGATAGTGTTTATTGTGCTTTCGGTCACAAAATCATATAATATTAAATATCATAATATTACACATTATACCGTACACAAAAAGAAGGAAATGAGATGATAAATAGATGAAGGAAAAAAGAGACCGTGGCGAAAAGTCGGCTGCAACTTGTTAGCGCACATTTTATAATTTTTACCTGAAAAATCGGAACTCATTTGCGCACACGGTTATCCTAAATGTACAACTGGTTTGCTCACACGAAAATAAGGCTATATGACATAAGTGCCAAAGGTGCAAAAATGCAAGACTGGGCATTAACGAGTTAAAAAGTTAAAGTTAAGTTAATAAGTTACTAGTTACTTTTGGCTTTTTATTAACTTAACTGTTAACTGTTAAAAATGACATATCATTTGCGCCAAAATAAATATTTTATATAAGTAGTTTTTCTAAATTGATATATCTTATAAAAATGATATTATAATAAAATATAGTATAATTATAAAATGATAATAATACTATGATATTATGATATAGTTATGTATACTATATTAAACTAATATTATTTTATATAAATAGTTATTTGAAAATTGCTGTCTTTAAAAGAATATTTTTATATAGAATATTAGAATATAGAATAGTTTCTATATTTTTGCTCTTTAAACAAAATACACACAACACCTTTATTCGTAACAGTTTTTGTAAAATCCATTTTAACGAATGCTTACGAAATAGGTACTATAACAATATGTTACAACACAAAACTGCTCACACACGACTGTCTATGTGACAATCTATCTCGTAATCAGATTATACATTTGTCGATTAAGATTAAACGTTTGGAGTACCTATGAACTTGGAGTATGAGTTTATGTACGATACGATTTATTACTTATTAAGAGGGTATTAAAAGGTCAGGCCAAAAGGTAACTGTGCGCAAACCATGTGCATGTTTACGGTTCAACTGTTCCCAAACGAGTGGTAGTTTTGTGCCCAAAAAAGTTGTCTTTTTGGTATTTGTGCGCAAACCAGTACCGCCCGAAAAGTCACACTTCCCGACACTGCAGCCCAGCGACGACGACGAGGACAAAAAAAAATATGGCGAGGTCAAAAAAATCGTAGCTTTTCAAAAGTCGTCGCCGTCGCTTTTAATAATATGGTATTATGTGTGTGTGTGTGTGTGTGTGTGTGTGTGTGTGTGTGTGTGTGTGTGTGTGTATTACGAGGTACCGGTAGCGTGTTTAACCGGCGAAGCGAATACAAACAAATATCAATATACTCGGAATGATTTTTTTAGTAAGACGCTCAAGTCATGTCGGGTAAACTTATTTTACCGAACGTGGGAGTAAGTCTCGGGATATCCCCTATAATACCTCTTCGCAGAAGTCCTTATCCCGTATATTAAGTACACTGTAAACACTCGACGCTTGTGTAAGTAAAAAAACTGTACATCGGTTCAATAATATGTCTTGTCTTATTGATACTCGACCGTATTTCCAGAAAAATATTCCTCTCTCGGAATGCACCGAACAACACTAATATTTACTAACCCGCACAGTGTACATACATCATCACTACTATACCTATGACGGGTCGACGTTGAAAAAACTAAAATCGTAAAAATAAATATAAACCGGCGGGTTCATCTCCCGGCGACCGTGATACGATGTTAAAGTAACGGTGGTTCGAAAACTCCAATTTTTCCTGTATTATAGTTTGCGAATTGCGGACCACTGTATAACCTTCGAATGTCGAGACGAACCACCCCGCCATCCGGTTTCATCTACATATTGTATATTATTATATGTTCAACCCGTCCTGCAGGTTATTGACGGACGTATAATAGCAAACGATTTAGCGGTTCGAGTGTCAGCAGCATTATTGTAAACAAGAGCGATCGTATCAATGAAAACCTGCCAACGAGGGAACTATATTGCAGCTAGGAGCGAGTTTTGGAAACATAATCTTTGTATAATATAAGACGAGCGTCGTCGTAACCCGTCTTCGTACAACGATAATAGTAATAATAATAATATTTTTATTCTCGTGTGGTGATCGACCCGGCCGAACCGACACGACTCGACCCGACCGCGTGGCTGCTGAAAAGCGGACCGTCGTTTGAAGACTTCAATGCCTCGGCAATAAATGTCGTCCGTTAGTACAAACCACCGACTTTCGTCGAGGTTCGTCCCACAGACCTATAAAGAAATGGACTGATAACAGAGAGAGAGAGATCCAGGGGCCAACATTGTTAGAAAAAGATAGCATACAACTTGGGTACCATTTACACCAATTAATAAAAGAGAGAGGGAGAATAGTTCAACAACAAAGATAACAACATTTTTAGAAAAAGATAGCATACACCTCAGGTAGTCGGGTCACATTACATTACACATGTATATTGACTATCTCTTTCTAACAATCTTATTTCAATAAACTTAAGGCAGGGTGTGGGGGAGTAGCAGTCCATATCTTATTATGTCTATGGTTCGTCCTCGTCGGCGTTCTGGTTTTCGTACTTGTGTAATCGTACAACACGAATTCATGATATTAGACATAATAATTTGTTAGATATGATAATATTGTCTATAGATTCGTGGCCGATGACTTGAAGTTGTTTTCTGGGGGATGGGCTTTTTTTTTGGCCCATCGCACAGCCAATCGAGAAATGGTGATGTATAAAACGCGTATTGATTAATCACTTCGTGATTTAAATGGTTTTCAAGAGTTGTATACTAAATGCCAAATTACAGGTTGTAGAGCACTGGTCAAAAAAATGTACAAAACGTGTCCAACGGTTAACCAATCGTCTCGATCTGTTCTATGTTTAGATTTTGAGCGGAGCGACGAATGTATCGATTTTACGATAATGTTTTTATTTTATTTTTGTGTCTGAAGACGCGTTTTTTCTAGCAAAAAAAAATGCACCAATCATTGAGAGAGATTCCTGGTGGAAAATTATATCTGTTAGTGGGTCAAAAGTAGTAGCTTTTAAAAAGTAACTTTTTAAAATATTCAAAAGAAAGAAATTTTGTTTTGATATTTGTTAATGTTTGTTTTGGCTACCATGGTTACCAAAAAGTTAGACCCCCTCCGTTCACAATCATTTTCCATTGTATACACAATGATTTATAATATTGATTTCAAATTTGACACATTCATTACAGTGACCTATTCAATGACTCAAGGTTCACTCTACACCTACTATAGTGGTTTTATTTTTCGTTTCTAAGTTCTATACTATTTCTTTATTTTAGTCAATCTTTTACGCACGAAGAATATATTATTGAGATTAATATTATCGTCGTATCGTGGACAACAAAAACAGTACGAGCAGATTACATTGCAGGTACATAGATGGTTTACTTGCAGTGAATAGCGATATGTGATAAATATGTGCTTGCACTCATTTCACGATCATAATAATTCTCGAACTCGTGGAGAAAATAATATTGTGCTCAAACTTTAAAGGTCGTTTTTTTATTCATCCAGTAAAATTTCTAATTCTTATTTTATTTATATTTTATTTCAGTATAATTCGATAACGCATTAACTAAACATAAATTATTATTATAACAGCTGATACGTACGCCAACAACTGTGCAAAGGTCGTATTGTTGAATTTGTATAAAAAGTACTGTGTGCCAATCATGGCTTTGTTCTTTAACTTTCATTATAATATAATAGTAGCTGCACTTCAACAGTATATACAATCATTTTAAAATTTTTTCCTTTGCTTTCAATAGTTTACCTACCTACCCACCTACCTACCTACCTACTCCTAAAATAATTTTAATTTCAGATTAAACACGAACCGTGATATTATAATCGTAAAAACGATCAAACAATAAAGTTATATACTTAAAGGTGTATACCTATAGTTTTTTTTTCTATCTCATTTCTGGTATTAAATTTATTTTATCCAGAGATTTTTATGCATATAAAAAAAAATTAATTTCAAACCCATTTTTAAAATTGGCCGTATTGTAAGGTTATAATTAATTAAAATCTACTATGAGTTTTATTGAAAAGGAAAATCTATATTGGATATACGATGAAGAATTAATATCCACGGGACCTTCGGAATCGTTTTTTTTATTTTATCAAAATTGAGTCAGCCGGATCGGATGGAAGAACAACGGCGTGCGAAAACGATTCAATGTGAAAACAATAAATTACAATGACGTCTATAAACGGAAACGGAAATCACATCCGGTTGATCGGTCAACATTATACGTTTTGCCTTTCATACTTTGAGCGGGGATAACCGTCGTGGATTAAATTCCTATCTCGCAGCGTTGGATCTTAATTATGACGACCTACATCCGACTTTTGTCCACAACAATGTGCGTAAAGTCGTCACAAGGGCAAACTCGTTTTGACTAATTTGGAAAAATCATATTGAACAATTCTAAAGATTACCGAATGATGGTTATTGGTAATGACGCACGTGGCCACGTGTGTCTCCGTCTCAAGACTAAACGTTCTACCTGAATAACCAGGCAAATCGATGGTTAGCAAAAAATTATAGCTATAATTATTAATTTGTATGCACGTATGAATTACACCACTTACTGGCCGCGACTACTTAAACACACACCTAATTTTAATGTTTAATCACTATAATATATTCATCATGTGGATAAACTTTAATCACAAAATATAAAATACGATTAACCCGTAACTCATATTATATTGTCAAATATTATAGAAAAAACATTGAAAAATAAAACACGTTCAGCCCAAGCAATTGTAAACGACAATATAATATTGTATAGACGTATATAGTGTCCAAAGATGGTTCAAAATATCACGATTTTCGATGTCTCTGCAGTCTATGACGAGGGAAATGTCACGTTATATCAGTGTTGTATTCTAAAGGGTCGCTAAAATCGATACAAATAATATATTATATGTTATTATATACGATTTATACGCGTCGGTTGTGTTTTTATTTTCATAATTTTTTAATCACGTCCCACAGCCGTTACTCGTACCCTGCAGTGTAGAAACCGAACCCCCCCCCCACGTGTTGTAAACGACTTTGCTGCACCACTTACCAAGTTGTAGAATCCTCTGCCCACTCTCTCGGAATTGATCCACAGCTGCCACTCGCCCGTGTGACCGTTCCACGACTGGCACACGTGGTACCATTTGAACAACTTCTCCGGGTAATTAATCCTGTAAATGGTGTGTCCGTTGATGGCCAACGAGTAGTACGTTTTGTCTGGTTTGTTCTCGATCCACGAATATATGACACGGGGTTTACCGGGATCTGTGTGTACACGGAAACAAAACAAACTCGAATTAAAATTCCGCCTTCACAACAATAATATTATGCATTTATTTATGGAAAAACCGATGAGTCGGTGATGAGCTCCAACATCACATGAGACGTATTATTCGTCGTTATACACTTCACACTGCCTGTGTATCTAATATTATGTTTGTGATTCGGATCAGATGAGATCGTTGGCATTAAAACTAAATAGGTTATTTAAACGACTAGATTATATACAATACTACACAGGTGTCAGGTACTCGTGATACCTTCTCGAGGAAACCATATTATATTTCCATCTACCGGCCGATCCATTTAACCTATACGACTCTCAACATTTGAAACACTTTTCAAGCTATTGAATATATTTTTTTTTACACGGTTTGAAGTCGTTTAAAACGGCTTTTTCCTAAAAACCTATATTTTTACAATTTTTTTATCGTTCTTGTTTTTTTTTTTAGAAATATTTTCAAAAACGTCGTTCTAAAATGAGTGTCTTTGGTAAATGGATACACCGCACTCGGTATGTGTGCAAAATTTACTAAAAAAAAAAGACTGCTGAAAATCGAATTCCGTTCGGCTTCTGTTGTTATAATATTATATTATAAACGCGTAATAATTTATTACGAAAAAAAGAAAAATTCGTTTCTCGAGTCTCTGTCGAAATTGTTATTATTCACCTTTCAACTCCCGTTAATTTTCCTTTGTAAATTATGTATACAATGTGTGCATTGTAGGTGTATCGTGTTTGTCAAACGATTTTAGAACGTTCAACAAAAAAAAAAATACTTTTTTTAATATTATATTGTGCCGAACAGATTCCCTGAAAGTTAGTCTCGTAAAAAATTACTAATCCGTCGTTATTTTTCCGGAAGCGGCCGAGGGTGAATTTTTTAACGGCATAGTTATATTTTAATAAACGGCGTTATAAACTCGCGTTATTATAATTTATATCGCGTTATTGACGACAAAATGTTGTGCGTCTTTTACGATGTCGTGTTCTGATGAGGGTCTCTTCGTCGCGGCGGCGCGAGACGACGGTACTTCGGGAAACAGTCGGAGTGCAAATAAAAATATCAAATGTCATATTGAAAAAATGCAATGTGCCGGCGTGGCGTCTGCGAAAACGGCCACCGAGTCGCGGTAATACATTTTTTATGTGCAGAAAACTGTATAAAACACAACACACGCGATATAATATCGTCTATAGGCTGCATCGGTGATGCTGCACACTTACTCGTGTACGAGAATATGGGCTGGTCGTGAGTGTAGTTGAAGATGTTGTGCCAGTGGCACAGCGTGAATTCTTTCAAATCCGGGATTTTGGTCTTGTAGACGATGTACTGAAAACAGACGGAGTGAAAACGTACATATTACTATATCGATAACAATCGACCGCGGAAAACCGTCAACTTCGCTGGACGCCGATATCGACGACCAGAACCACCTGAGATTCGCTCTTACCTGCGGCGACTCGGCGTCCTGGGTGAACACCGCTTTTCGCAGTTCACACCGTTCACGGTGTTTGTCGTGACCAGGCGGTTTGTGAGGTCGTGGTAGTGGTTTGCCGTAGACGGCCGGGTATGAAGGCGAGTACGACTTGGGCGAGCTCATCCACGTGTACGGCTTGGAATACTTCCAGTGTTGTCCCGAGGCGGTCATCGAACAGCACCAGACGACCACCAGGGCCATCGCCGTCAGTCGGGTCGAAACCATTCCGAGATACACTGAAACACGGATTTATATATAGTATGTTATTATAATGTGATCCAATACCTGTTTAAAACAAGTTTTATAAGGACCCACTGCAACGTGTTACGGTTTAAAACAAATTAAATCGATTAGGCTATTGTAATCTAGAGCATACCTACCTAATACCAGATATATTATATAATATTAAATTTCGAACAAAACATTTTGCTATATTTTTTAATACACAAGTTTATGCGGTTTTTAACTGTTTCTTTTATATAGTACATTAAATCTCTAGCTCTGTTCATGACTCGATACTAATATTATTATCCTGCGTAGTATGTTTTATTGTTTTATATTAATAATAATATTATCGTCGAAATGCGGTAAGACGGCGTTCTGTGTAGGCAATTCGCCTACGTCGGCGTGTAGTACATTTTATTTTGCCCCAACCAAAGAAATGCATAATAATCAATAATAATATTATCTTCACGACACTCCGATGATAAGTAATAATCATAATACTATTTATTATGTCGATCCGGAATTGTTGCAATGATGTGGGATTTCACGTTATGCGTTGTTCTTGAGCATTTTCAGCAGACGTTTTATTTTTAGTCATGACAATTTTTTTTCCAGTCCAAAGTCTGCTCGTATAATATTATTTGTACTTTTATATTTTAATGTAAAAAATTATTTAATGTTTTTAATGTGAGTATTATTTATGTTTATTTTTTATGTCAGCGCGTATTTCATTGTTTTTTGGTGCATTAAGTTCCCAGTTCACGATAACGTATGCAGTAAATATTATTACACGCCCGTGCCATATAATATTTTATATTGACATTGTCCCTGCACAAACGTCAGCTTTTGCTTTTTGCTGCAGTATAATAATATCTAAAAGTCTAAAGTTAATATTCGATTCACCCGAAACTATAACATAAGGCGCAAATGTTGCAGCCCCAGGAGGTGAAACTTTCAAAAACATAACCGCCCCTTCACCACTATCGCTACCAGTTACCACCACTTTTTGCCATGATCCGTTTACTTCTCTCTAGCACGGGAAAATAAACTTAAAACTCTTAACTTCTACTACTTAGTAATATAATATATAGCTAGTTTCCTCTTTCAGTAATTTTCAACATAAATTTCCACGCGTGACATAATTTTTTGCTCAGCAATATTTTTTCAAATATAATATCATTACTATACACAATATATTATATAATAATAATACCAAACTCATCGTAAACCTTACTCTAATATGTGTATACAATTTAATTTCATCATCAAAACAATGATTTAAACACTAAATGGTAACTTATTTATTTAAATTTTCAACGCCTCAGAGTACAGATGAAGCAATCATAAGTGTACTACAATAATAATAATATGTCGTATAGCCTAATTTATTAAAATCTACAGTGATGTAATTTATATATTTTATCATCAGGCCCCCGTCCACTAATTCAAAACGTACTGTGTTTTTGTAAACGACTTTAATTCGTCATCACTGGTCACTAAATAATTGGCTTAGGTAAATGGACATTTGTTAATACTTTCGGCTGATTGTAAATATAAATATTTAGTAGAACAAATTCACATTGAAATCAAGCAATCGTGAAAACCTCTTCGATATATCGCATTGGTTACATTCGATTTTCGATCTGGTGATCCTTTTAATCGTGGAATTTTAATATTGCAATACAGCGATGTCGATATATAAATTCGTCGAGGATGTTGCAGAAATTCTTCCTGTATCCGTAAGATGTTATACATAAGAAATATTATTTTTCCGGGAAGGCAATCGAAACTGTGTCTCGAAAGAAGAAAATGAAATAAAAATGTCGGTAAACATTATTTTGAAACAGGCTTTTTTTTTAGGATAGCGAAAAACCACGTCAAATTAAATAAAAACATTCACAATGCAAACCAAAACATAATGAACGACGAGAAAGTATAACCGTAATTGTGTTATTCGTGTATTGTTACTAAATGTATCTGCAGTGTATAATATAAATTTGATTCCGTATTGCATCCGCTGTTTGCAAAAATTAATAGGAATTATTTCGAAACAAAGCTTGTACCTATTACAATTTATTCATGTACAATAGTACATTCTAGCCAATAACGTATTTGAAGTCGTTAAACAATTAAATTTAAGACTGACATTATTCGATTTCAATTTGCCAGCTAATTAAAAAAATTTACTCGTCTTCTGTTCAATAAAACATGATAATGGGTAATGCTTATATTACAGAGTCATTGTGATAATCGTGGGCGCGTATATGAAATTTCTCAGACATTTTTATTGTGAACAAATAACAGACGGTAGGTGGGTACTATATTATTATAATATTCCCTGACACAAACTAATGATACCCATAAAAGTTGGATGAGTGTTGGTTGATAAATGTTTTGTCAACAAAAATAACTTTGACGTGTTGTCAATATGTACATAAAACGTATTCCCGTCACTTAAAATAAAAATAGGAAACCCAACAGTCAAATCTGCAGGGATAGTACCTACATTATAATATTACAATGGGAAATCTAAAAAACTTATACGTCCCTTGCGGTATTTTTTCATAAAAATGTGTTTATTGATTTCTTATTTTAAATAAAACTATAATTCCAAGAACAATGTCACTCGTCCACAATCATATAATTTTTAACTTAAATATCTGACCATCAAAATCGTTCTTAAAAGAGATTTTTTCGTTACAACATAATACCCTATTACTACACTACTTATTTTTTTTTTTTTTGAAATTACAACCTATTTTAAAAACGGATTTTAAAACCGGATTCGAAATGAGGTCGGTATTTTCTCGAAATCGATTTATTAAAATTCGGTTATGTCGTAATTATTATATTAGTAAAATATAATTTATATAAATTAACACATTATGTTTACGTAACACGATTAAATAATTAAGGATAATAATGTAGTATTACCGATATACATATTGCAATATTAAGCCCCCAGAGCTGCAGCTGGTTTCCAGAGCACGGTTTCACACTTATTGTTGTTTTCTATACAATATAACATCCACGCCTCTGTTAAATGCAACCTTTAACGGCGGCATAATATACAAAATGATACTCTCGTCAAACAATGCGATTGTTGTTATTAAATTCATCAGACATCAGAGACAGATTTTATTTTGACAAGCGTTTTGGTGTCGTTCATAAATCATAACGTTATTCTCCGTATATTATTAAATATTTATGTCATTATATTTGAATGCGAATACCGTGGTGTACGTGTATTGCTATAGATACGTAGATAATATGTATATATAATATTATATTATATACGGTGTGTACAATGTAGGATTCTTCCGTAATCCTTTTGATGCACGTCGGCGTTAGACAATGACTTTTCACACGTTTTGTTAATGACGCTCTGCTGCTGCAAAGAGCGAGCATTTTATTTCTTTTCAAAACGGCTACTGTATTATTATAACGTGCGCAGAAACGGTATTGTTTTTGTCGCGAACACACACCGACACGACGACGACGGTCTTTCGTTGTTTTAAAGAGTGCTTGTTAAGGGAAACAAAAAAAAAAAAAAAAACAGAAACAAAAATTCACTCGAATTTTACTGAAGAAAAAACGTTTTGTGCAATTTCGAATGCGTCGTTTGAATATTATATACATTTTTTAACGAACATCTCATCTGCAAATTGCGGTTGTGTGTGTAAAGTAGTCTGCCCGACGACGTATAAAAGATTTCGTTTTCGAGACCATTTCGAGCATTTAAAACGATGTTATAAACCGTAGTCGTCGTACCTAACCACCTGCACAGTAGCCGTGCACAGTAGCGCATTATAATATTTATTGTCGAGTGTAATATTATAAGCTACTGTAGCTGGACGAACTAACGCGTTAGTAATTTCATATATAATTAATGTATGAATCATACAACTGTTGTTGTTGTAGCTGTTTGATTATAATACGATATTATTACACCCAATGGTATAATAATTACAGCTAAGGTAGCATATATTTTTATTTGGTCCGATTACATTGGTTGTCTGCAGTTATGTCCGCGATTTGACTCGTACTTAATATTGAATAGATCAATATTTGTTTAGCATGTTTTTACATATTTTCATCGAAATGCATTATACTAATTGTATATTTCAATCGAGAAATGCATAAGAATTGTATACATTTTAGATTTTTTAAATATTTATTCCACAATAATAATGTAAGATCGTATTCATCTATAGTATGCCTAATGAAGATGTTTGATATTATTGTTTTATTGTTTGTCGTAAATATATGTATTTGGTTACATCGACAAAAAAATAAGATTTTATTTTCGAATCGATATTAATACAAATGATTTCGAAGAAAGCCAATAAAGTTCAAAGTAAAAGCGCTAAGTGATGAACATTTTTCGAACGATATTTTTATTAAAAAAAAAAAACTATTTGACGTTCGATAGAATTTAAAGTGTTTTTTTTTCTTCGTTTTGAATATTATTTTTACAAAAAAAAAAATGCATATTTAAACATTTTTTTCATCGCATGAATCCTAGCTCCGAGACACGTCGCTCGGTAATTACAAATACGAAAACGATAATATTATCATATACAAATATGATAACAATGTATAGGTAGGTACACACCATGTGGTATATTACATACCAAACGAAAGTTCGCGTCGATATACGCGTGGGCGGCATACTTAATATTATATTAATGCAAACCCTTCGCCACAATAATTATTATTGCGAGTTTGATATTAATTTGCATATTATATTATACGACTTTAACGGGCCACATTGTGTGGGATAGACACGGTCGTCGTCGTGCTCGGTGTGGATGTATATAATCTTTTCGATTGTTGTTTACACATATTGTAGGTATAAGGTATCCTAACCCAACCTATTATATTTTTTATCCGCTAGTCCTTCGATTTAAAACCCGTAGTCATATGGTGGTGCACTTATGCGTGCGTTAAAAGCTCACAAAATAATATCGTCTCGACCGAATAAATAACATGCGTGAAGG